ATTTTTCGGCGCGCGTTTCTGTGGGACTACATACGTAGTATATAAATTCACATAAGAATCATACAAGCATTAAGATCCAGCTAGACCGTGTAAAGGCTTCGATTCTATAGTTTATATTATATGTTATTTATACAAACTTATCTTTTTAAAAAAAGGTAAAAAAAGCGCTAAGCACGCGTGCTTTTCGTGAAGAATCATTTGGGCCGGTTTCACCAACGCCAATTATTTAATTGGCTGTGGAACTAATTGTGTTTGCTATTTAGTAGAATTGACCACTTATGATTGATAGTTAATCACCGATTCGGCTTAATCGATTGATAAAACCGGCCCTTTCTATACATATAATACTAAGTATCCAACCCAATTAATAGTAACTTTAATTTTTTTCGAGGATATTCTTATAACGATATGTATCATTCGTATAAAAGATTTGATATCAACAAAACTGGCGCCAAGTTAAATTCCATGTAATTCGGATACGAAATTATATAAATAATATTAACTTTAATGATATCATTTCTATAAAAGATTTGATATCAAGAACTGGCGCAAAGTTAAATCCCATTTCTTTATACCATGTCAAATTAAATAAATAATCAATATTAATCTTATGATATGTATCATTTGTATAAAAGAATTGATATTAATAACTGTGGCGCCAAGTTAAATTCTACTATCAAAATAAAAAATAAAACCCAAGGGATACTATCTTTAGTATTATTTACTTAATCCAAATGATATTATCTTTAATTTTTATGCAATGAAACCTAAGTATGTATGTATATCTTATTGAAGGATCTTCCCATTCCAATCCAAATGATTTAAATTTCTCTCAAATGAAAGCATTATATCACAATTCATTCACACACACAAAGACATTTCCTCTTCCAACTAAAGTAGTGGTTATTTAATTATCTTTCAAAACATTATACAAAACATTATCACAAATTTAAATAGAAAAATTTTTCATGTAAAAACACTTGACGCTGCTAGATCTCGATATAATAACAGTAGCAAAATACGAATGTAATATTTAGAAAAATAAGAGAAATAAGAATATAATACTTAGAAAATGTAATATTTCGAAAAGTAACATAAATAAGAAGCATATTAATAAGAAAAATTAGAATCGTATTAAAAAATATGAATGTTTATAGAAATAAGAAAAATAAGAAGCATAAGAGTTAAAATATCTAGTATGTGTATATATGCGGTTGAATTATAGAATCGTGTAAATTATATATGCTATTGAATTATAGAATCGTGTTCACAGTAAAATTAGAATGAACGTTGTGAATACTGTTAAGTTTAAGTTTAAAAAAAATAAATTTCGATTTGTAAGACACGCGTTATGAAAGAAAAATAAACTTTATTCGTATTCAGTGTAAAGTTCAGATTAAATTTTTTATATATTACTTTTATTATTAGATTTAAATTATAATTACCTTTTATTATTTATTTGCATAAAAATTAAGGATAATACCATTTGGATTAAGTAAATAATAATAAAGATAGTATCCCTTGGGTTTTACTTTTTATTTTGATAGTAGAATTTAACTTGGCACCACAGTTGTTAATATCATTTTTTTATACAAATGATACATATCATAAAATTAATATTTATTATTTATTTAATTTGACATGGTATAAAGAAATGGTTAGTATGTACAACATCGTTGACATTTTTTTCAACAAGTTGCTAAGCAATTAGGTGTGTTCTTTATTCCTGCACTGTCTGAACTGGTGCATTCAGTGCAATAAGTTGAAACAAAACAAACATATATTTATTTCACTTCAACTTATTACACTGTACGCACCAATTTAAGTAGTGCAGGTCTATTATTAGTTCTGATTGCGTTTTAAGACTAAAAATAATTTCGGCGTCACCTTTTCAGAATTGAAATTGTGGTATATAAATTCACACGGAGCTATTTTTGACATTAAGATAAGTTTTACCGCTTAAAAAACTTATAGTTTATTTCAAAGATGAATATATCAATGCAACTCTCAAATTTATGACATAATATAAATGAATAAAACATTTTGACGATATCCACAATATAAACAAGCTCTTTACTTTCTGTTTCTTGCTTTTTACGATTGTTTACTTTCTGCTTCTTATCCAGTTTTTTCGTTTTCTGTCACCCGAAATAAAAATTAATCAACTTCGGAAGAGACAAAAACACGTAATAAGAAATGCGCAACGTTAGACTTTAAGCTCGAAAAGAAACCTTTCCTATGTTTATTTATTCGAATATATAATCTTAAATAAAACATAATAATATTCACTAACACATAATAATGAGAATGATATACTTAATAAAGTATTACAAAGTAAATACTATACTTTATTGACGCGATATATGTTTATCTCATCGAAAAATTTAGTTAAAATTAATCGAAATAATGCCTCGAATCTGCAGGGTTGTGATCAAAGCTAAAGTTTCTCGATAAGACTAAAGGTGTCTTGGTAGAAATATCCTCAGCAACGCCATGATACTTTGCCACTGCTTTGTCATGCCATAACCGCTTGAAAAAATTTGACATGGCCCTAAGAGATCCAATTGAGGATCCTAATATGACGTTCACAGTAAAATTTATTTAAGAATCTGATATGGCTCATAACAGACTCAAGCTCGCGCCTCATATATGGAAATGACTTGATATTCTGACAGATTTCCTAAACTGAATAGTCGTAAACTTGAATGATTAATGTCTCAGGGTGCAGTCGCCACATGCAAAAACGTAAGTTGCGTCAATCAAATTGCATCAAGTACTATGCGTTGTTCTAATTGAAACGATTTAATTGGCTGACGCAATTTACATTTAAGCCTGTTCTACAATAGAATCATAAACGATAAGCCATAAGAAATTAACCGTAGTCGATTATTCTTCTCACACTTAACTATGATTGGCCAATTTCTTACGGCTTACGACTTCCGACTCTATTGTAGAATGGATATTATGCAAGTTAATGTCGTATGTGACGATATCTTTAGGCTCGCGAGATAGAGTAGTAACCCAGTGACTGATTCTTGTGTCAAGTCAGTCAAGCCTCTGCTGTCTTATGTTCACGTATCTTCAAATCTATTAATATACTATAATTGTTTTTCTTACTCATGTTTGCGTTTTTTCTTTACTAGTTTTTAATTTTTTTTATACATTATCCTTACCTGAAATCCCAGTAAAGTTCCTTTCGAATAGCCGGGAGTTTATGTTCGCGTGAATATACATTGCCACGTGCATTACCGAGCCACACGTCGTATCCTGCATCCGCCAGAACAAAAGCTAAAATTTCAAAAGATATATTTTTATTAAAGCGAATACAAACACTGGAACGAGGATGAAGTTGAAAAAAAAATTTGTTTTCAATTTTTAATCGGTAATTATATGATTTTATTTTATAATTATATTTTAAAATAATATAGTTCAATATATTTTTCTTTAAAATCTGAAGATACATATAAAGAAGGCTATGTATAGCGCAAAAAAAAACTTGGAATAGTAAGACGTAAACGAATTGGTCAATCGCCAGGGCCTCAGCATAAAAATGATCGTAACTGAGTCGTAAGTCATTGTTATAGATCAATAGAATAATGTTTAATCAGTTTACAACTACAACTTATGTTCCACGACTCAGTTACAGTCATTTTTGTGCTTAGGCCCTAAAAGAGTACGTAACGTAATAACGTAAGCAGTAAATCCAAAATGTTAATTTGCTTACTGCTTGTCTTGTTACTCAAATTTTTTGTGTACTATGACTTTTAGACGTACACTTCTGTTTAGGAATTGCTCCATTAAAAATGCTTCATTAAAAATGCCATTTTATTACCTAAACCTTTCTCCGGTCCGGAAATGATAAAACACGCTGAACTGCATAAAAGGCCGTGCATCACGAATGCCACAGGTTTTTGCACTTGTGAGTTGTTGAAATTAGTTCGTCCTGTTAGCCGATGTAATTTCAAAATGTAACCGTCAGAGGTGATCACCTCGTGCACTTCTCCATTGTAGCCGTACTTTTTCACTAGATCTAGCTGTTCAATAAAATAATTTTCTGATACCAATAGATTAATTGATATCAAACGATTGAAAAAAAAATTAAGCAATGCGTCGTTCAAAACATGTCATCATCAAAACAATAAAAATAATTTACATTCATTAGATTTATTATGTCATAAATAATATGTTATAAATAATTATATGTTATAAATAACAATATATATATAATATTTATTAGAATTGTTTGATACAGAAATTTAAATAATTTAATGAGAAAATGTTAGAAATATAAATGAATTAATATATTATTTTTTATTGAATGATAGATTTTTTAAATATTTGTAATTGTATTAGTGATCTCTCTGAACAATACAAAGTCATTTTCAAAAAGTTATCACATTTCAACTTTTAATCGATAGAACTTATGTCTATTCGTTACTTGAACATAAATTCTTTTTTTTTTAATTTACTTTCAATTTCGATAACTGCACTTACAGCGGTAAGCGATGCATCTGCGTGTACAGTTGCCAAAAATTGCGGATCGTTGAATTCCTTGATCGCCGGTATTTTGTCTATTGGTAGAACATTGGGCAGTTGGTCCATTGAAAAGTACGACGTTGCTCTAGCGGACGCCAGAATCGAGAGAAGGAGGATCAATAGCGGCATTATTGTTACTTGATGAAATCGTTATGCAAAAATCGATCAGTTTGAATTATGCTGGGCGCGATTTTCTTCCCGAATGTGTAACGTATATATAAACGATGCTACTTATTTACTGAAAATGCCACCTGACATGAAGTGTTTGCTATTTTATGCGATCATATCAATACTCTATCGTAATCTATCCGTTATAATTTCTGATTTGACAATACGATTGGTGTATTAATAAGCTGTGTGATTAAAGCTGTGTGATAAGGTGTTCGAAAAGAAAGAATTTTACACCGATTGTTGTCAAATGAGTTGATTATTTATCAATAAAATGATATATCGCTTTTTCAAGTTTTTGCGCAAAATTGTAGATCTTTATCACTTTGGAAGAAACAAAAGAACTGATTGTAATTAGTCACTACTGATAAAATGTAGGTCGTTAAGAAAATCTTATAATTCATGATTTGAAAATTGATTTCGCAAATTCTCCATCTCGTAGAGATTATTTATCTTTATATCATTAATTGATTCTTATATGTATAATTTCATTTGTTTTGATTTAATCATTGACAGATGTTCATAGATTGGATTCACGGATTTTACATTTAAGATCGTCTGAAATATTTAAGATTTCACGAATCAATCAAATAGACGTATTAAGATATTACTTAAAACGGTCTTAAAACAAGGTAAATTTAAATAAAAATACTAAGCGAGTAAAAAATAAATGATACGATAATATGAAAGAAGGAAAATTTATAGGAATGAGTGCATAATACAAGGTGTATATTTGTTAATTTAAACATTTCACATTGATAAAATATTTCAAATTGATAAAATATTTTATGAAAATGCGAATATATTAACAAAAGAGTGATAACTTAAACCGGTATATATAAAATAAATTCATCTTGAGATAAAATAATTCTGTTGACAAGAAAGACATATTCCTGATCAAATTCCATAGATTAATCACCGCAGGAATTTGGAAGAATAGATGCCGGTACTTCATTACCGGGACTTCTTCTTCATTCTACTAATTATTTGGTCATATACAAGCTTCTTCACATCTTTAGCCCACATGTAGTCCAAATGATTAAATTTTTTATTCGCAATTAAAGTTTTACCGGACGGATTACCCAACTCCTTATATAATTTTTCCACATCCTACGAAAGAATCACAATATAACTAAAACTGTTCGCAGAAATGTTACAGTACAATTTTATTTGACGCTTGATCTTTGGTTTCAATTACGTGACTACAATGACTACATCCTGATTAGTATTTATAGTTGCGATTTTATTGAAGAACTTAACTGAACCTAGTTTTGAATGAAATAGATAAGTGCACAGTCCTAGGGTCCGTATTCATAGTCGTAGATCGATCTACGATCGATTAATCTTCATTTCAGACGAGCTAGATTTGAATCAAAGTTTGAACCAATCAAATTTATTAAATCATAGTTTGAGAAGCGTTTTTCAAATGAAATACTGATTTAAACCTAGCTCAAATCGGATCTCAAGACCTCTATTCTTGAAAAGAAACGTATACGAAAAATTAGGGAAATACTATGTATACTGTGGTATATCTCTAGTGTTTCGTATATCTATGTATCTTTCAAGAATAGAGACTCAGGTTGAACAACTATTGATTTTTTCAATTGATTTTGTCATATTGTCATTGAGCATTAACGGGGATCATATAATCACTTTGACGTTTAAATCTAGCGTGAAATGAAAATATATTTTAATTCTCTTGACAAATGTCAATACAAAGATACTCGAAATAAATGAATTAAACGCCAAAAAACAATTGTTCATTTGATTAAATTAATTTAATTCGTTTTTATTTTTCTTTCGATGAAATGTGTGTTTAAGTCAAACATATTATATTTGATTTAAATATATATATTCTCCAATAAAAGACGTAAAGACAACTAAATTAATTTATTCAAATAAACAATTTTTTCAAAGAAAAAAAAAACGAACCTTGACATCCGCTAACCAATCATTTTCACTATAATATAAATAGACTGGGACTTTGATCTTGCTTAAATCATAATTCGGTGGATTGAGTGAACCGTATACATTTGTATTGCCCAATATTCCGTAGTCAAATTGTTTAAATTCATCTGGTGATGATAGCGTTCCTGTTGACAAATTTACTACTGTTATTACAAGAAATGTGTTTAATAAATTTTAATGTAATGAATATTACGATAGATCTTTATACATAATACGTATTATATTATAGTGAGTTTTTATTACTCTGCACTAGTGTGTGTTAAAAATATACATAAAAATATTTAATAATAAAAACACAATATAAACTGTTTGAACGATAAAATGTTATCACATATTGTAAATATTTATCACAAAATGTATATTTAATATCTTATCGCTCAAAGTACTTACATTATGCTCTTGCACTTAGGTATCTTTATATGTATAATATACACCACTTTTTCACGTAACATAACAGCGCGTGCAAAGCGTTCTAGGAGCGCCCTTGCGACTGCACCTCCTAAAACTGCTGTCATTTATGTACTTTCATTGCGTGTGAATAACTTAGCAGATTTTAAGTCACACTGATCAAAAAATAATTATGCATTTATTACTGCATTTATCCTGTGTTGATTGCATGCACTTTTGCAACAGCGTTTTCTGAAACGTTTTACAGGCACTGTTGTGCTATGTAAAAAGTGCTGCAAACATACTATGAAACTGCATTTATCCTGATTGTGTGCGCTTTTAAAACGCTAAAAAACTGCTAAAGTCATCCACCTGCCTAAGCGTTTTTTTAGCGTTTTGTAGGCACTGCTGTGCCACGTGGAATGTATAGCAATTTTTATGACACTCTGATCGAACCAGTGTGTGTCTACTGAATTTATTATTATAATAAATAATAAGGTATAAACGTTTACCAGACTTGATGAGTTGCCCGTAGTGAATAATTTGCTTCGTGGATACGCTATCAGGAAACTGTCCTAAGATAACTGGTAGAAGAGCCTAGAGAGATGATAATAATATAAATTATAACTATATATATAGGGTGCTTCCACAACCTACACATCAGGAAGTCGGGTTGCCTGTCTACCCATGGGCATCCACGAAGCAAATGGGCAAGGACACGCTTTACTGGTAATGCAGAATAAGATTAGATGACAAGTCCAGCGGGGAATGAGACAAGAAAAATTGAATTTTACATACTGATATAGTATAAAGATCAATAATAAGATATAAAATATGTATTTAATGATACAAATATCTGACTTAATATTTATTAAATATTTATTATAGAAACATGGTACGAATATAAAACAATATAATTAAAAAGGCATAAAACCACGAATGCCTGATATAGATGGCTTAAGAATATTATATTTGATATAGTACAATAAATAAACGTTTCGGTCTTGAATCAGACCTTCTTCAGTAATACATTATTAATTCTCAAAATTAGAATATTTTGCATATAAATAATTTAAGTCTTAAAATTAGAGTCTTACGCATATAAATAATTTAAGATATTACAAATATCCGTTAATACGTTACTAGTAGATGTTTTATTCCAGTTCAGTGATAGATGTGATTTTTTTCATTTAAATGCAAAGTGTTCCATACGAGTCAAATTGTCTAACAGATCTTGATACGTGAACCACAACCAATAGGTAAGCAAATTTTCTCAATATATGTCCACACAAAAGTTCCAATTTCTATTAGACAATATGTATAATTGTAATTCAATTAATAACATACGACGTGTAAAAAACAAGATAGTTATCTTATAACAATATTAGGAATACTTAATTGGAAAAATATAAACAGAGAACAGACTACTGAGAGTTATATTGCTGTAATTCGTGCGAACAAAAGATTTATTAAGTACGAAAAAATCAGTCATTTTGGCTTACATTCGAGCCATCCTCAGTGTATCTGATCCATATACAATAAAATTCTTAGCTGATTTGATAGGAGAGTGCCCAATCATTCCGCTTCATTTATAAAGACACCAGGTTAACAGATCAGGCGACCAAATAAATTGAAAGTGGATTCTATATAAATAATCCAACCATTATTAAGTTATTAAAGAAAAATGTAAAATAATGAAAACTTTAGAATGATCACTCACCTATCAAACCGTGAACATAATACTTAAAAATTAAAATAATTTCGCTGTATATCCGCATCCATAATTAGTAATAACTTATACATGTCAACAAAGCGACAGTCAGCAATCAAATGAGTAACTGTCAAAGATTTAACTTAAGCATCGGTTTTCATGTGACTATGAGCATAAACAATAAACAACAAAGACGATACTTCCGACATTACAAGCATAGAAATACGACTTAGTGCAACATATTATTGAATCAATGTAAATTGTCAAGAATTGAAATGTACGCGTGATGTAGAAATTCAGTGTCGAATTGTAGATTTAAACCATTTTTTTTGTAATTTAATGTGTAGCATTTCAGAAATACGTCGTCTATATAAAAATCGTTCACTATCGACAATCTCAGTGTTCTCCCAATCAAAATCGTGGCCATATTCCAATCTGTGTTCTGTGATAACTGAATAATTGTTATTGCTTTTCCTGATATCATTTCGGTGTTCTGTGATTCTCGTTTTTAACTTTCGCTTTGTTCTGGCCATAAACTCTATTTAGCACATTATAAAATGGTCAACAAGTTCTCGCACATGACACGTAAGTACATCAACCGGATACTTCATGTTGAATTAAATGATGCTCATAGATCAATCAACCATTCTAAAAAACAATCTTTCCAATTAATGAGAAGAATCACGCATCATATTCCGTTTCACATAGTTAAAGAATTCTTAGAAAAACAAAATAGATATTTTACAGCTTTATTTGAACGGGACTCAGCTAGATTGTTTAAGAAAATGAAGTGGCTTTTAAAACAACATAACAAAGACATAGTCTGCAAGACGAAACCGATTCACTATAACTTATTGAATATTAATCAGACGATTTCTAACAATTTGACAGATAATTTTGAGAATATCAATCAATTAATATCCCCAAGCTTGGTTGAGTACAGGAGAAATGACAACACAGTTGATGTTCTCATTGATCCTTCAGAAATTAATTTGAATAGTATTAATTCATCATTGACGAATCTAAAAAACAATTGGTTTATCAATCTGACTTCTACTCACATTCCGACAAAAATACAGTGTCTATTACAACTAGGGGAAAATTTCTCTTTACCCCCTTTCAGTTATAAAAAAACAACATTAGAATTTATAAAAAACATAGA